GAGAGAGAGAGAGAGAGAGAGAGAGAGAGAGAGAGAGAGAGAGAGAGAGAGAGAGAGAGAGAGAGGGGTCAGGAGCAAGGAGTAAATTGAGCCGGTGAAAGGCAATAGGACAGGTTGGGACGACTTCATCAAACTGACACCTGAAGGTAGTGGGAAGCCAGTTGCAGATGGTTGGGGAAGAGTAGGCTTAGCAGAGGGACTCGCCAGTCCTGGGTTGCTGGACGTGGGCACATCTGACATGAGGAAGAGAGATTAAGGGGCCGGTATGGTTATGAGAAAAGCTTGGATTCTGCTGTCACTTGAGGAGACCTGTGACTTAGGAGACAGTGAAGGGAGAAGAAAGAATGGAGGAATAGCAGAACTGCCTCTGGGTTCTGGAGAACTGAGGAGTTAGAGACCCGGGGCTGTAGTGAGGAGAGAGACCTGTAGATAAAGGGGAGAGACAGTTATGTCTTTTTCTGGGAACAGACAGGGCGTTGCCAGATATCTGTGTTCCTTTTGTGACCTGTATTTCCAGCCGTGGGGGCAAGCATGTATTTTTAGCCTTAAAGTCAGGGAGAGACTAGGCAAATCTAGGTCAAGTCAACCTTCTATTATAGTTCTGGACAAAACACTTCTTCAGTGATTTGTGTGCAGAGCGGAGCAGATGCTGGCCCCAAAGATAAGGCAGCAAAGGAATCAGAGCTAACAAGATTTCCTACCTGTGCCAGGGCCCAGCATATATCTTCAGGTCCAAGTAAAGTCAGTGTTTCCACCAAAAGAAGTGTGTGTGTGTGTGTGTGTGTGTGCAGGTGCAAGTGTGCACGTGTGTGTGGAGGCCAGTGGATACCTTCAGGCATCATCCTCAGGAACATCATCCACCTCTTTACGACAAGGTCTCTCACTGGCCTAGTGCTCACCAATAATTAGGCCAGGCTGGCTGGCGCAGGGAGCTTCAGGGGTCCTTCTGTCCCTACCTCCACAGCGCCCTGTGCCACATCTGATATTTTTACTTGGGGATGGGACTTGGGTCATTGTGCTTACAAGACAGATATTTTACACACATCCAACCCAGACCAGGTCCTCTTGTCCTTGAAAGGTGTCTTAGTTATCTTTCTGTTGCTATAATAAAGCATCATAACTAAAGGCAACTCAAGGCAGAGAGAGCTTATTCTGCCTTACGGTTCCAGATGGATAAGAGTCCGTCATGGCAGGGCAGAGACAGGACGGCAGAAGCAGAATGCTGAGAGCTCACATCTTTAACTGTGACTACAGGTTGGAGAGTGAAATGAGCCTATGTCTCTCAAAGCTTGTCCCTGGTAATAGTGACACACACACTTCCTCCAGCGAGGCTGCATTTCCTGAACCTCCCCAACTGAGGACCAAGCGTTCAAATATTTGAGCCTATCAGGGACATTCTGACCTGAGGACCAAGACATCAGAAGCAGTCTTTCAAAGCAGTCAGTTTTTAATGCTCCCGACCTCCCACACCCAATTAAGTTAATTTTTTAAAAAAAAGACAAAATCCAGCCACAGGATACCTTCTCGTTCATTCAAGCTTCCAGTAAGCAGATTCCCACACTCAGATGTGAGATGGTGGAGGTGAATAATATAAAATGAGCCCCTCAAGAACTCCCCTCCCCAGGGGTGAGGAAACCCCTCAGTAACCAGATAGTTTTGGCTCACTGTAACGCTAGCCAATGGAAGGTATCCCAACGGAGCCTAAGAAGGAAAGTCTAATGTCTGCGATTTTGAGCCTTTTGTCTTACCACTTGGCCCTTTGCTGTTTCTCAGTGCAGAGACGCTCCGGCAAGAACTGGAAAGAGAGAAGATGATGAAAAGACTGCTGATGACCGAACTGTGAAACTCTGCCCTTGTTGCCTGGAGATGGCACGGTGCCTTCGTTCGCTTCCTTTCCTCGGGCTCGGTGTGCTCACTGTGGCGCGATGACGTACAGAAGTGTGCTCTGTTCGCCCAGGTCTCCAGGGTTAGCGGAAGCCAGCTTCCAGCTTGACTTTGTTGGAAAAGTTATTTTATGTCTCCTGAGCATGAGAGGCTTTTCTATTGCTCAATGTGGTGGAGACAGGGTTTGGTAGGAAGTTTCTAGAAGAAAGGGGATTTCTGCTAAGCGGTACCTGTGTGTATCTGCTAGTCACCCCAGGGGCTAAAGCAGCACAGATTCCTCCGCTTGTACTCTCAACTATGTGACTTTTTTATGATCGAAACTTGCACCAAGCTTTGGCTGTTTGTTAAATGGATCCTTTTTAATGAGAGAATAATTCTTTACTGCTGGTTTTTCCATTTACACTGATAAATACACAGATCTTATAAAATCATTTATTTTTATTCAGACATGAGTAGATGAATGGGAAAAAAAAAAAGGTTTCACATCACTACAACTGAAAACCCTTCAGTTTATCCTGAAACACGATGGAATGTGTGAACTCGTTGGATACAGCATAACTTGGGATAAAAGGAGTTTATCTTTGAGCCCCACATAGGAAATGCTAATTATGTCGTCTACAAATCTTGACAAGGTCAAGATGACTCAGTGTCAGGAAGACTCATCTGACTTTTCCAGAAAGAGAGATTATTTCTAAATTCTATTTACTCTAACCATGTTGACAGAATCTTGCCCAGAAGAAACTTAGCTCCCTTTTTATATATTAATTTTCATGAATTGCATTTTTAAATTTTTATTATTCACTTGAATACCTTTGCAGGAATTAAGGAGCCCCTACCCACAGCTAGCTCTCTGAAGTTCTTCCTGATTCTCCCCGATATGCTCCGTTTTTACATAGCTGTGCTCAGCGAGAACATTCCTTTTGTTATATTTCCACCTAACACAAATCCTTATTAGACAGATCCTGCTTTCACCGACTTAAATGTCTTTATACCCACACAACATGGTTAACCTCACTTCTCCCCATCATTAGATATTTGAGTTATATGCAAATTTTCACTCTTATAAATACTGCTGCTATGAATGTCTTTGTAAAAACACATAAATAAATAAATATATACATATATATATAAAATCCTTCTCTTGGATTATTCCCTTTGGAATATCTCCAAAGAGGGATTACAAGGTCAAAGAGCATGAAGTATTTTATAGCTCTTGTTTTATATTGCCAGATTGCTTTCTAGAAAGATCCAGTCTTTGGATTGGAAGGACCTTAAAGGTCATCTCATTTAAACTTCCCCTCCTCTGAATGCTTGAATCCCCTTTCCAATTTATGATGCCACCAGCAATGTGCAAGCATTTCTATTTATCAATTGCTCTGCCAATACTGGGTTTTGCCATTCTAATTTATTTTTTTTTGCTAGTTTAATAGATGTGTATAGTTATTCTTGGAAAGCTGTCTTATTTGAACTGCTAGCAAACTGAACACATCTGTGCGATGAGCTTCTAGCTGTGTTCCCGTGTGTGCCAACTGTCCACCTCCATTTCTTATGACTGCTTGTTCAATGGGACTGATCTTGTATCTTTGTATCAGAACTGTATTTTTATGTTGTAGAGTTTGCTCTCTCCCTGTCCCTACAACTGAATGGTGCCAATAATTTGATACTAATGACTATAAAAATTGCCTCATTGACTAGCTTTGATGCAAACGAGGTATGTAAACAGGGGTTCAGATAACCAAGAAGTAACTCTTTAAGGACTGGCTCTTTACAATTTTAATATTTTTCTGAGGGAACTCTTTCTAACACATATGGCACATTCTCCTGCCTTAGTGCGCAGAGCATCCTGGAGGGACTTCTGCCCTTTCCTCATGAATCCTGGTCGTCAGTGCAATTTGATTTGGTACAAAAGATGTCACCGGGAGCTATCAACACATGTGGGACTTGGTGTGGCCTTATGTAGGCTATGGCCCTCTTCTCATTGATAGCTCTTTATTGTTGCCTGCTCTATCAGTGGAACTGTCTGGGGCAAGCATAGTTTCAGGTGGGTGCTTTTCACCCACGCTGCTCCCAGATGTACTAGTAAAACGGGCTTTTGCTGCTCTCGATCATGTGCACGTGACACAAACCACGTTTCTGTAGAACCTGGGGTTGCCACCTCCTGCCAATCCAGCAGCCTCTTCCTCTCCGGAGCTACATTCTGAGGCATGCACGCCTCCCCACCTTGCTCTCTGATGGAAACCTCCAAAACACAAGAAGAGGTTTCTGGAGAGGTCAGGAAACAAGAGTTTCCTACATACCTGGTTTGCTTTGTTTTTTAAGGAGGACTGCATGGAGGTTCTGGCTGTTGTTTTCAGGGGACTTACAGGCTTCTGCCTTGTCTCCAGCTTTTTTCCCAGGTTCACAGGTGTCTCGGTGGGTTGACATCACTGCAAGTCTGAGCACAAATGTGTTGGTTGTTACTGTATATGAAAACCCTGTACCATTGGCAGTTCACCCCAACCAGTAGAATCCAGAGGAGTGCATTATCTTTAGCTGCTTAAATGTATAGTTGGGTGCTTGACATTGGGACCTGAGACTGTGACGTTGCCCTGCCTGAACTCACAATGACTATAAGGAGTTGCGTAATTGTTTACCTTTTCTGTCTACTTTAAGACCCAAACAATAGCACTAGAAGGTCACATGACACCCACTGTGGATTCAAGAGGGCACAGGAGAGTCTGCTAACATAACCATTCCAGAGCCGGGCCTCTAAAGTGTGGCCGCAGACTCCTCAATGAGAAGGTGTGGTGAGTTACTTCAGAGGTCTGGCAACCCTCAACCCAGAGTTGATGGGGCGAGGACAGCTCAGATTTCCAGGTGTGAGAAAGGAAGTCATTTCGCACTTAGAAATTCCCACCAGTATATATCCAGAATTTGATTCCAAAGAGCACAGGAAGATTCCCGATATCATTGTTAACCTTCACCATTTCAAAGATCACAGACCTTTAAAGTCCTTGAATAAAATCCACCATTTTAATGACCTTAAGGTGTGCAGCTCAGTGTCTTTCAGCGTATCGATGATGCTGGGCAGACATCATCGTCTGACTCTGCCCCTCCCCTGACAACCACTTGCCACCCCCTTCCCTGGTCTGTGGGTTTCTGCTTATGAATTAACTTCTTCTGGACACTTTATTTATCTGTAATCAGCTTGTTTCACTTAAACCATGTTTTCAAGGTTCATCCGTGTTATACAATGAGATATATATATCAGAACTTCATTCTGTCTTTGTGACTGAATAATTGAGTATATGGAGATGCCATGCTTTGTTTATCTATTAATTCAGTTGATAGATATTTGGGTTGCTCCTGATTTGGGGCTATTATGAATGATAATTTTATGAACATTCATGCACAAGTTTTTATCTGAACATATGTTTTGGGTTCTCTTGGAATTGCCAGATCATATGGCAACTCTATGTTTAACTTCCTGGGGGACTTCCAAGATCACAGCTTTTGTATCTTAGGAAAGCCAAAGTGGAAAATGGCATACGCCAGGCAGTCAGAGACGGGCCACATCTGTTCCTGGCCGGATACCAAGTGGTAGCACTAATTTGGGGATGTTTTTATAAGAGGGGGGAAAAGGTCCTTTTGAGAAATTATTTTGTTGATGATGAGAAGAGAAATAAAGGTTCCGTCTGTCTTTTTAAAATGAAAATGAAATGACCTGCTTATCCGTTTAAAAGCGACTAATGGGCTGGGAAGTGGGTTAGTGGGTGACATATTTGCTGCTTGTACGTGAAGTGTGGACCCTGGGCACCTACATAAAAGCCTGGCACAGCAGCCTTTGTTTGTAAGCCCAGTGTTGGGGGCGAGGGAGCCGAGAAAAGTGGATCCCAGGGTCTCACTGGCCAGGCAGTTCCAGCAAGCTCCAGGCTCAGGAGATGCTCAGTTAGTCAAGTGGTGGCCGTGCAAGCATGAGGACCAGAGTTCAAATCCTGGTACCCACATAAAAAGCAGTACTTGGCCACGTGTGTCGGTACCAGTGCTGGGAAGACAGGAGGATTTCAAGTTCACTGGCCAGGCTAGCCTGCATAGCTGAGTTCAACTTCAGAGTTTCACTGGGAGACCCTGGCAGGATTCGCATATTTAAATTCCAATCAGACAAGCTGATCCGTCGTCTATATCAGATAGTAAACAGCTGGCCTTTGGATTTCCCAAAGTCCCATTTCTTTCAATAGCAGCTCCTGCGTCTCCCAGCCTCAAGGCCAAAAAATAAAAAAAAAAAAAAGGTTGAAATGATTGACTCTTCATCAGTATTTCATAATTGTGTGAAATGTCATGACATTGGACCCTACAAACTTTCCGTGCATGGTCTTATTTAATATTCACTGCATCATGGGAATTATTGATCACTGGTCATTCATTACCCAGGCAGTCTGGGTATAGTCCAAGACTATATCTGAAATCTGTTTTTCTGCCTCAGTAGCAATTTCTTTACTTTAAATAATAATTTTAAAAAAAAGAACCCGAAGAATTGGTTTATATGCAGGTTCGGAAGTGGCAGCATGGGAGGGATAGTGTCCCTATTTTTTGCTGAAAACAATTTAACAGTTGTCGCCACCCCAACAAGGGTCGCCTGAAGACAAGCCTGGGACCTTGGTATGTTAGGTGGGCAAATAAATGGCCAGGTAAATAACGCAAAGTGTAAGTGGTGCGAACGGATGTGAAGACGCGGAGAGTTCAGCAAACTTATCAGACATGATTGTGCTGCTTGACGTCTGCACACTTTGCTCCTGGGAAAAAATGATAAACCAGCTACCTAATCTGAAAAGTTCAGGTATGCTCCAGTGCTCCTGACTCTTGCCAAGGGCTTAGTTACACCTTCCTCGTTGCCTCTGACCTCTGGTTGGCTATCTGTATAGTAGTATTTTGTGATTTCGTCTTCCTTCCGTGATGAAATCACCGTCTCGAGAAATGTATGGAGTCTAGTTAAGTGTTGTTTCCTTTGAACGAAAAGTTTCAGGAGCAAGGTGTTGGAGACAGTCATTCTAATAAGGTGTGGAAACTGGGTGCTGGGAATTTGAATGAAAGAGCAAATTGCGCTTTGTGTGTCTGGAATGGGGCCTAAAGAGACGCTGGCAAGTCCCCCAGGTGGTGCTGATGTTGTAGGTCAGAGTGTCACTGTGGGAACCTAGGGACCAGAAGGTCAAATCTGCAAGGCGACTGGGCGGTGGGGAGAATAGGTGAAGGACTCAAGAAGGGAAGCTAGGAGGGAGCGTCAGGAGAGGAGGGGGTGATGCTGAGAGGATGGGGCAGGTTGCGGGGCTGGAGCGAGGATGCGCAGAGCGAGACAGGGAGGCGGCGGATGCGGGCGCTCCGCGGCTGCGCGGCGCGTGCTGGCGGCGGCTAGGTCCCGGCCCGCGCCCGCGGCGCCCCCGCTGCGGCCGGAGCGGCCTGGCTGCGGGATCGGTGAGCAGCGATGGTGGGGCAGCCCCGGAAGCGCCCGGCCTGGGCGTCGCTGCTCCTGCGGCTGCTGCTGACTGGGGTCGCTGCCTGCAACGCCAGCCCCGCGGACGACGGTGCGGGTCCTGGGGGCCGGGGACCCCGGGGACGCGCGCGAGGGGACGCGGGCGCTGACGAGGCAGTGCCGCGCCACGACTCCTCTTACGGCACCTTCGCCGGCGAGTTCTACGACCTGCGCTACCTGTCGGAGGAGGGTGAGGCTACCGGAGGGTGAGGGGAGACCTGGGGGACCGAGGAGTGCAGGAGGGGTCCGCAAGGATGTCAGTGGAGACAGATGTGCACTGCTGAGTCTAGGCTGGGGAGCCCGGTGCTCAGACCCGCCTGCAGGAGGGAAGTCTGGAGGAGCTGTCAGCGCCTGCTCCCCTTTTTACACGTGGGGAGACTAGGACTGGTATACTCAAGTCCTGCGAAGCTGTGGACAGGAGGTGCTAAGCCTATGCTTTCCCAGTTCTCAGCGTCTGGCCTCCTCCATCCTCCCTGCCACGGAGGAGGCGCCATCTGGCCTGGGGTACCGGAGCCCAGCGCAGCAGGCAAGCAGCAGAAAACCCAACTTAAAGAGACCGGTTGCCCAGTTACCTCCCGGTCTGTCGGTCTCTAATTGACCTAAATTTGCAGGTACTGGCGCCCCATCTTTCTGTTGGTCTCACTGCCTAGACACCAAAGCTGGGTCATAGCTCTCTCCCCAGTCCAACCCACATCTGCCGCCACCACACTTGTAGTCTCGTAGTGTGAGGCACCATTGTTGGGACCATCTGGGCCTAGAGACTGGGGTTTCTTAGCCAGCTTCCCTGTAGAGCTGTTTCAAAGAGCACAAAAGGCAAATCCGTTCTGATAAAAGGATTGGAAACTGGTCTCTTACTTCCGCAGCGTTGAGGAGAGTTATTTTCCTTTACTTCTGCAAATAGGAGCCAAGAATCAAACTAGGGGTTGAAATGAGGATATCTGTTCATGGGTGTATCTCCTAAATAGGTTCGGTTATATGCAGAATGCAAATGTTAATATCTTTGATAAGATAGAATTCTCTCTCTCATATAAGGAAATCTAGAAATTCACAGTCCAGAACTGGTATGAATAGTCACTGGTCTTGAGGGACCCTGGGGCCAGAACTTCTACTCAGGAGTAATTCTTAACTTGTAACTTAATGATCCCAAGTAGCTGCTTGAACCCTGCTCATTATTCACATTCCGGATGGTGAGAAAGACAATATGGGTTGGAAAATGCTGCATCCTGCTTACTAAGGATGCTACTCGGACAGAACTTCCATCTACCAATTTTAGTTTCTAAGTCATGTGTTCATGTAAAGTAGTCTGGGAAGGGCAACCTTTAAGCTAAAAAAGACAAACTATATCCACTTCAAAAATGTAATTATTATATTAAGGAAGGTGGAGAGAATGGATTGGGAAAATATATTTATTAAACAGAGACTATTGAGACCCCTCCCTCCCCCACACAAGTTTAGTGGCCTGGAGTCGGGCTGTTCAGGGGTTGATGAGGCAGCTTGGTTCCAAGTTGTCACTCAGAGACCTATGCTCCTTCCATCTGTTGCTCTGCTACCCTTTAAGACCTTGTTCTCATCTATGTAATAGAAGATTGGCCGCTTTTAAGTCTTTGTTCAAGACTGAGGGAAGAGTGCTGGAGGGTTGACTCAGTGGGTAAAGCACTTGCAACACAAACGTACAGTACCTGAGTTCAGAGCAGCAGAACCCACGTAACACAAGTTGTAGTAGCATATCTGTCTGTAATCCCAGGGCTCCTATGGGGATTTGGGAAATGGAGTAAAGGAAATCCTTGGAAGCTTGTGGGCCAATTGATGGAGCAGCAAACCAGAGACCCTATCTCAAGGTGGAAGTAGAGGACCGATACCCGAGGTTATCCTCTGATCTCCATATGCAACAGTGTGGTATATGCCCATACACACATAGATACACACACACATACATACATACATACACACATACATACATACATACACACACACAAATAAAATTGAAGAAAATAAAAAGTTTAGGATAAGTAATTATCTTTTTGGAGGCTGCTTTTCATAGTCTTTGGCAATTACAAGCATAATTAAATAATGACCTGGCTGCAAGGGAGGCCAGACAGCCCTGAGTCCAGGAAGAAGGGGCAAATGGTGGAGAAACAAATGAAACAGATCCTATCACTCTGGAAAAGGATAAATATTCCTACGCATGTCTTTCTGAAAACATATGCTGTACATAACCAGCCTATACTTCCAAATGACTTAAAGGTGGTATGTGAGCTCCTGTATTCTCATTTAACTAGTGAAGAACAAGCCAGGCTCTCTGTGTCTACTTGCATACCTGGGGAGAATGAACTACCTGTTGTAGAATCTGGTTTTATGAAGTCTAGCATCAGTTGGACAGTAGCTACCAAGAGACGCTTTACAGTCACTCTGAGAAGTAAGCTCCCAGCCCAGAACAACAGGAGGATATAAAACATTGGATTATGGGTAACTACTCCATTCTGGCAATTCTCCAAGGGAGAAAAGCAACAAGAAATGGAGTATTGCGTTCACGTTAGTCCTTCAGTGAAGCCTCTGTTCCTGTATGCTGTCAGCTGGCCAGGATTATGGACCGTGAGTCGGAGGATGGCAGTAGCTACCTTCCCTTTGACCAGTAAGGAAAAGAGCCATTCATGGTTGCTTATCTTCCAAGCACAACAATCTCACTATTGGATAAACATGCAAATCAATGAGCCTCTCAGCAGTCAGTTCAAGACCAGATGTCCCTGTTATGGAAAAGAGCTGGACAGGAGGCAGGGGAGGACAGAACAGTGGGCAGTGTGACATCTTTCCTCAGCCTGTGACCTTCTGTGTCAGTCAGGTGCTGTGTGTAAATCTCTCTCTCTCTCTCTCTCTCTCTCTCTCTCTCTCTCTCTCTCTCTCTCTCTCTCTCTCTCTCTCTCTCCNCTCTCTCTCTCTCTCTCTCTCTCTCTCTCTCTCTCTCTCTCTCTCTCTCTCTCTCTCTCTCTCTCTCTCTGAGCCTGAAAGTTCTTTACAGCCGTCAATACATTGCCTAGCTTTCTGTGGCCTCCGCGAACAAAGTCTGCCAAGAACATTTATTGGAGCTATCTTTCAAGTGTTTCTTTGTGTGAGTGTTTTCATATTTATATTCACATTCATGTGTGCAGAGGCCATAGGACAACCTTGGGTGCTGTTCTCAGACATCATCCACCTACTTATTTGTTAGTTTGTTTTGAGCCGGGTCGCTCACTGGCCTGGAGTCGTCCATCCCTGTGAGCATGCCTCTGCCTCCTCAGTATGGGGTTATAGACGCTGTGTAAGCCCTGATTTTTTGTGTGAGTCCTGGGGGTCAAACTCAAGTCATTTTGCTAGTGTGGCAAGCAGTTCACAGATGGTGTTGGCTCCCCGGCCCTCAGTGTCTTTTAATAATTTTCTAAGGCCCTTTACCTATGTTAGTTTCCATCGGGGCTGTGCTCCTGTGAGTCAGATACTACTGTTGGCCACACTTAAGAGTTAAGGAAAATGACTCAGTTTTTTTTTTTTTTTTTTTTTTTAATCTTGGCTAAACTCACACAGCTAGAAAGGATGAGGGAACTGTTGGATCTGTGGATGGAATCTGTGGCGTAGGTGGTGCCTGGTGTCCGGACCTGCCTGAGTGAAGGTCTGTGTTTGCAAGTGCTAGGAACGGACTCGGACCTGAAGGAACGGGGGTCTTTGAGAAGGCATTTGAGATGATGGGTTTCGGAGTTAGTTAGAAACTGCAGGTTCTGAAGGGTCAGAGTGCCACTGGGAAAATCTTCTTTTGCCCTGGTGTAGGACTTGACAATCCACCTCTCTCTCTCTCTCTCTCTCTTTCTCTCTCTCCCTCCCTCCCTCCCTCCCTCTCTCTGCATCTCTCCATTGTACGGCTCTGATCAGTAGAAGCGACAGTTCAGGCAGCCTCAGAAAGAGGCGGATGGATGTTGTGGTTCTGAGGAGAAGCTGAATGGTGTGGCCAGCCAGTCTGTGGTTTAAACCTCATGGAATCAAGGGCCAAATGAATATCTGAAGGCTCTGATCCAACCAGCTCATTAGAAGCAATAAATAGCAAAGCAAAGGCCACTAGCCACTCGGTAGAGTGTGGCAAAGTGGGCTCAAGGGATTGCAGCAAAAGGACACATGCTCCACAGAGTAGATGAGAATGGAAGCCACAGAACCTCACACAGCAACCAAGAGCGACCGGAGGAGGAGCTCCAAGATAAGGAGATTGCTCAGCACGTGTGGGGCTGCGGATTCAGCCTCCAACAGTGCAAAAACAGACAAATAAAATGAGAAAACCAACTCCATATAGAACTATCTTGACAGATAGAAGAAGTGATAAAATAGTAATTAGGAGAAGAAAAAGTTGCTGTAATTAGTCTCTCAAAGTTACTAGACGTGTCAGTGAAAAGTCTACTGGGAGGGATATACATATATAATGAAATATATATGAAATTTCATATATATTGCATATTTGTGAAATATATGTATATATGAAAACAGCAAGTGGAGAAGTTGGACCTGTTCTGTATTGTTAATGATGATGTAAAATGTTACAGCTCTTTGGAAAATGACTTGGCATCTCCTTCAAAAGTAAAATGTAGAGTTACCATATAATGTAGCAATTGTGTTCTAAGAGACTGGAAAGCATATCCACACAAAACCTGCTACACAGCTGCCTGGTTCATAATAGTCGCAAATGGGGAACAACCCAAAAGCCTAGCAGCTGATGAGCAGATAAACAATATGGTCTGTCCATACAATGGGGATGGTATTCTGTCCCCAAAAGGAATGGAGTTTTAATGCATGCCGCATGGTAGATGAACCTTGACAATATTATGCTAAATGAAAGAAACCAGGCCCCAAAGGCCACAATGATTCCATTGACAGAAAGTATTCAGAACAGGCAAATCCATAGGTTCAGGACATAGAGGATGCCAGGGGAGTGACTGCTGCCTAGCACTTGGCGTCTTCCTGGAACCGTGGAAATTTTCAAGGATTAGATAACAGTGAGGGTTGCATAACCCTGTGGAGGAGTAAAACGCACTGATTTGTGCACCTTAAGATGGCAAGTTATATGGTAAGTCGGGGTGCAATAGCAATGGAGGCAGATAGAACCAGTTAATAAGAAGTTGGTTTCTCCAGTACTTGGAAGGCTGAGGCAGGAGGATTGCAAATTTGAAGTTGACATTG